GGCGCCCGACTTGGGGTGCTTCCCCTTTAAAATCTGGCCCCAGGCATGCCTCCTGCCATGATCGGACTTGCGCTTGGGGTCAGGGGGCCCACAGCACGGCTTGCCGAGATTCCTGACCTGCCCACCGCACGTATAGTAGCAACAGCGGGTGCAGGCGACAAGCAGGCCCCCTCCCTGATTCACATCAAAATAGATGGGTCTGTGCCCATGGTCCAGCAGCCCTTGGCCTGTGATACCTTTGATGGTGTCCGCTCCTCGGCACCTTCCAGGGTGAGGCTTCTGGGGGCCACGGGCACACCGAAAGCACGAACTACAAATCCAAAACCTGCCTTCCCAGGACCAGGAGTGAGAAGGAAGGAGAGGCCTCAAGGAGGGGGGGGGCTTGGTCCTGGAGGCCTCCGAAAGATCAAGCCTCGGCCAGAGAGACATGACCCGCGCAGCGAGCCTGCAGACCGCCCTCGCGATACGCGCCGAGCGCGCGGCCCGCTCAGCGACCACAGGGGCGGGGGCCGGATGCCTCAGGGCGGCGAGGCGAGCGGCCTGGTCAGCAGTGTCATTGCCTAGCTTGTGGGCCCTCGCCTCATCTGAGAGGTCGGGGCTGTCGAGGACATGCCCCTTGACCTTACTGACAGCACTGGCGATAGGGCCCAACGCCTGAAGCATAAAACCCGCATACGGTCGGCGAAAAGACAGCCGCGCAGGGATAGGGTCGAGAGCGGCGGAAGCCACATTCTGACAGTCACTGTAGATGTGACTGCCCTCCACCCCACACTGGGCGGCGATACAATATGCGGCATACTCAGAAGCTTGAGAAGTCTGGGGAAAGTGGGCCAGGAGCGGCCCAGAAATAACACACTGCACTTCTCCTGCTTCTGAGACGCTAACCACAGACCACCCCGCCCTGGAGAGCTCAGGAGACACATTCCTAAAACACGAGCCATCTACATATAACCTACCGCAGACGGAGGTACTGGAGTTGTACGGGTCCCCAGCCCAAGACACCTGAATCCCAGAGCCAGGACCATCAGTTTCATGTGCTGGACGGGGGAGGTAGTCGCCAGGGTGCACATAAAGACCACGGGTATACAGTAGGTACTGCTCGGGGTCACTCTGCTCCGAGAGGTCCAGGGGAGGGGCAAGCCAAGCATCCTTACCTAGTACTTCCTTGCGTATATCTTCACAGGCAGGGCAACGCCACAATCTGTGCAAGAGGGTGTCGTCGGCACCTCCACAGAGCACACAAAGTACGTCGCCCTGATCGTAACCAGCGCTGCGAGCCCGAGTCTTTGTCCACACAGCCGAGCACGCAAGGGCCTTCATAGAGCCCTTCTCCCGCGGGGTCCACTTGGAGGATTGCAACATAGCATACACCTGATCATGACAGACTCGAACAGGCTGCGGAAGAGAGGGCAGAAACTTGGCACCTGCGCGTCGCTCATGAAGGTGAAGCACCGCCTGCCTAAGGTGGCGCTTCAGTAGAGCGGGGCTGACCAAGGTAAGCGGCAGGTCCACACCAAACTGGTCCCTCATGACCGTGAAACTGGGCATCGACCACCCAATGCGCTGCAAACTAAGCTTCATGGCACTGATGGGCCCCGAGACCTGCTTCCAGTTGTCGGGCCCTGGTCCCAGGAATACGGACTCCCAAGAAGTGCGGAGCTCAGGCCAGGACAGGGTAAACGTAAAAGAGCGCATATGGGTCCCCCAGAGCTCCCTGGCGTACCTCAGGATGGGCGCGATGGGCCCGTAGTACGTGGGGTCCTTTTCCAGGATGACAGCCGAGGTGAGCGAGCGGGACCCAGCCTTGGGCCTGATACAACGACCGAAAGCACGCCGAACACGCCCCCATTCAGCATCAGAGACCCCATGAACCTCACTTCCATAGTAGTACCCTGGCAGAGGGCCTGTGATAAACAGCTTCCTGGAGTGCCTTCCTAAAGCCTGTCGTATCTTCTGCAGTCGCTTGGTCTTGTGCTTGAGCGTGAGCATACGCACCCGAAACACCTTCGACCGAGTAGGGGCCCTTCTAGGCCTGCCCGAAGTGTGATCGATCCCAAGGTTAGCTGCAGAAGAAACAACTCGCTTGCCAGCCAGAGCTCCCAGTCGCTTGCGCAGTTCCACTGCAACATGGCGATGGGAGGCCACAAGGTTGGCCTTGTCGTGCGAAATACTGCCACCTATGTCGTCCACGATGGCATCGTGCAACGAAGCGGCCGCCCTTGCCAAATCATATACAACTTCCGAGGTAGTTCCGACAGTCGACAAACCATAGTCATCGATGTAGACGTCGAGCGAAACGGTGGGAGGGATGCCAGCCGAGTCGAGGGGGCCAATGACGAAAATCCTCACCATCGTCGTGGCGAAGGGGCAGCCTGCGACGATGCCGTGCTGTACATAGAATGGGCCACGCAGAAGCTGGCCCATGGTGATGAAGCGAGCGTTGCTATACATGGAGACCACCAGTCGCGCGACGGTCATGTCCATGCCATGCTGGGCACATCTGTGGAGCAAGAGGTCGAGGTTAATCGATTCGAAACACTTGACCAGGTCCCAGAGCAAAATGGCAGAAACCTTGCCGTCACGAACGCCAACCTCTCCCTTCGCAGACTGCCGCCAGACCACGTCAGTGGACGAGGTGAACTTGCCAGCTGCAAAAAAGGGGCGACGATTGTTCTCCTCCCATCGCGTGCCGTATCCTCTTCTCCCCTTGCCCCACAACCGATAAATGGAAGAGAAGAGGCCGATGGGTCGGAAGCCCCCAGCCTGCTTGCCGATGAGAGACATTATAGTGATCGCGGCCTGCTTCGGGATGAGGCTGCTCACTTCCATAGCTGTGTAAATGACTGAGAGGAGGTCGAGCGAGGCATCCGACAGCGACGCGAAGTGGCGCATGTGAAAGCCGTCGACCGAGGTAGCCGTCGTTTTGGGAAACTTGCGACTACAAGCCCTGAGATCGTCAGGAGCCAGCCGAGGTAGGGAGGGAAGAGGCTGAAAGGTGTCCGACTGAGGCCGAGGGTGCGAGTGAGCGTGCCACAGTTGCTCGTACTGCTTTGCTTGTGCATCGAGGAGAGCCTGAGGATCAGCCACGACGATACCGTTGGAAAGCAAAGCCGTAGTCGGAGCCCACGGAGTGAAACCACGAACGACCGAGTGCGCACGCTTCGCACCTGCTTCAACCTTGTCGAGCAGCCACTGCTTCCATCCACTTAAAGCTTCCTGTTGGGCGATGGCTTCAGCAGCAGCCACGGCGACATCGAGCTGAGCACACAGAACCCCGTAGACGTCGGAGTCGTGAGAACTCTGCACTGCAGCACAAACTTCGTTATACCACCGCTGATGATGAGCCAATCCTTCATGCAAAAAGACGGGTGGATTCAGGACGACCCGACGTAGCTCCCTGGCCTGCCTGACCGCGTCGGGGCTAGGAGCGTCGAGTAGCGAAACGTACATTCTGAACTTCAAACTCAGCCACTTGATTGCATAGCACAGGGGCTGTCGCACTGGGGGCTTCCTGTCCTGCTCCAAAACCAAAGCCCAGTACATCTGCGGGGCCTTGGACCGTGCTCCTAAACATGGCAGCTGGACGCCCCTCGAGTCGGCCAACTCACGTTCAGAAAGATTAGCCCAAGCCGCGTACACCACATCCAACAAATTCTGGACAGTCTGAGTGTGCCCAGATTGCAGCACATCCAAGAGCTGCTGCCCAAGGGCCCTCGCAGAGTCCCAGTTTGGAGGCTGAGGCTGAGGCCCAATAATAGGATCCACAGGGATAGGTGGGGGTCGGCGGAACCTCAGTCCATATAGCTGCGCCAGCTGCGGATAGAATTCCAATGACACAGGTGAGTGTGGTGATGTACACGCACCGAGCTCAACCTGGACTTTCGCCAAACCTTTAGAAAGACCCAACGAGACCACGAAGAAATCCAGAAGGCGGGTCCCTCCAGTAGAAAGGCAAGATCCAGAAGCGGCCTCAGGAATCACCACACGTCCCCCACAGGACTTTGCAAACTCAGACTCCTGAAAAACCGACGGTTCCATATTAAAATCAGCTCCCAGAATATAAGGTCCAGCCCACACCTCCAATGCGGCGGCCACATGCGAGAGGAGCCCCAGGTTGTGGTCGCTGAGCCCCTGGGAGTGATGGAGGTACGCACTGACGACGTACAGCGCGTCGCCGCCTGGGATATTGACGATGGCACCTACGACCCTATGAGGGGCCAAAACGTGACCACCTGGCGGGGGCCGAAGGCCCAGGAAATCTCTGACCATGATGCCTACTCCAGCCGACGTCCCCCCCGACGGGGTGGAGAGGGCGGGAGTGAGGAGAATTTGCCACCCGTGAACCTTGGCCCAGGACGATGCTCGGTCAGCTTCATCGCCGAGGCGCAGGTGGTGCTCCTGGATCAGGATGATGTGCGACGTGCAATGCGGGAGCCATCGCTGCAGCGATGACCATGCAGTGCAATTGAGCGTCTCTACTTTCAGGGAAAATTGAGCTCTCCCAGGGGGTGGGGGTGGGGTACAAAACTTGTGGACGGGGGCGGCTCCAGCCCACCCCGTCTCACGGAAACTACAGGTAGCCTGGGCCGAGGACTCCAGGGGCCTAGGCGTGAGCATCTGGCCAGGGCCCCCGCGCGGGCGACAGGACGGGGCCACAAGATGCTGGTGAGACGTAGGATCAAAACTCGCCCTCCTGACCCTAGCTCTCGCTCGGGCGGCCAGAGCCTGCGACGAGGAGTTGGTCAGACGGGCATTGGCGTAAGCCAGGATATTGTGCGAGAGACCGTGCCTGTGGGTGCGCCCACGCACACCCCACGCATTAAATCCTCCACACTGAACAAAATTGAGCTCACTGAGTCCCCCCCTGCTACGCACTGGCTTTGTCAGCAGCGGCAGCAGGGGGGACACGCACTGAAGCAGCCTTGATCTGGGCCGCCGCGCGCTCACGAATGCTAGTACCCGCTGGCGTCGGAGAAGGGGCTGCTGGGGTTCCCGCGGACCGAGCAGAAGGCGGTGCAGAGTCCGCGAACCCGACCGACTTGTCCCTGTCCTTCGCCTTGGGGTCCTGGCTGGCTGTGGTCGAGTCCTGCTTCGCGCCTGCCACGGGGCCTGCAGCCGCACCTTCACCTGATGCACCCTTGCGCTTCTTCTTCGTGAGGCGGGCGACGTGGGCGGCCTGCTCGGCCTTGATGGCCTCCAGCTTCTCGAGTGCGCCAGAGAAGAGGCCCTTGGCGACGTCCTGCAGCTGGGACCGCAGCAGATCACGACGGTCAGCGATGTTCTTGCGGTCATCGTCCGAGCACTCGTAGCCATCCACGTCAAACACAGAGTCGACGTCGATGAGGTCGACGATGCTGCCAGTGCCGTCGACCACCTCCTTGATGGAGATGCGAGGTGGAGCTGGAGAGGCAGCTCGGTCAGGTCGGTCACCGACCAGAGAGGCAACTGCAGCCCTGTACTCGGCGTCGGCCTGAGATAAACGCTCCGAGAGCTCTGCGACCGTGTCTGTCTGCTGGGCCACCCACTGCTGGTACTGCTCGAGCTTCTGGACTTCCTTCTCCAAAACCGTCTCGATCTCGGCGACCTTGGCGCCGATGGCACTGATGCGCTGCTGTGGCGGGGGATCACCAGCCTTCTGAACTTGCAGCTGCTGCTTGTAGCGTCCTGCCACGCGCTGGTCCCCTGCCTTCTCGGCCAGGCGCACGAGGTCCTCGAGCTCGGCGACCGTGAGGCTGGGGTCCACAGCAGGGCCTGCATCGCCACCGTCAGGAGGAGGAGCACGCTGAGGAACAGAGGGGCGCCGCCGCACTGAGCCTTCCAATGCAGCGTCCGCCCCCTGGCTGGGCGCCTCGGTACGCCACTCTCCGCAGTGCTTGCAGTAGACCATGGAGTCGAGGTTGCGCGCACAGCTGCACCATGCACATCGCCACTTAATCTCGCGCTCGGCGCGGCGGGAGGGAGGGCGGCGCACCTGCCACGGCGCAGCGGCCTGGCTGGGCGACCGAGGGGCTGCGTCGGTCGCGCCCTTGCCCTTCCCTCCACCGCTGGCGCCGCGGCCGACAGCGCGGCCCTTGCCTCGCCAGAGGGCTGGGGCCTGGCCGCCGTCGCCGAGCGCCGCCGCGCCCCAGGATCCAGCGCCGCCCCTGCCGCCACCGGCGAATGCCATGGCGGAGGCGTGTCGGTGCCGAATCGAGGGACCGAGCCACTGGCTCGCTACCCCAACGCCGTCCCAAAGTTCGGAGTAGCAAGACCCACCTGGGCCTGGGACGGCTCAAAGAGGACGGAGTGGCAGAAGGGGGCGGGGAGGAGGGCGGAGGAGGAGAACCAGAGAGGAGTGCGAGGAGGAAGCGGACGAGAAGGATGCCGAGGATGAGGCGGTGGAGAAGGACGGGAGGAAGACCCGGATTCCCGACGTCGTGAATTTGGGCAGAAAACAAAAAACACCAAAAACGATCCACCAGCACGCTCCATGACTGGGAAGGCGAAGATGAGACCGAGGAAAATCTGAAGCCGGGAAGAGGTGGGGGCGGGGCAAGCGGTGCCGCTCTCTGGCACCGCGTCGCAGCCCTGTCGGCGGCGCTTCAAAGCGCTCTGGGGCGGAGCTAACCACTACTGCCGTTACAAGAAAAAACACAGGCAACGGTAACCTTTGTTTAGTGGGCGCGTTGGACGCGCCCGCTGCAGCGACGAAGCTTTGACATCGTGTGCTGGCTGTCCTACACGTGGCATGTACTTCCCCGCCTGTTTGCGAGGCGTCACGTCTGAATTGCAACGAAGATAGGCCCCTGGTCCCCGAAAGATCTGGGGGGAGTTGGCGGAGACGAAGAATCTTTCCCACCGCAAACACTCCACCATCACACCTCAACCCACGCTGAATCCTCCTCGGGCCCGATGCACGCGCAGCCAGTGGAGTCTTTTTTCTTTCCTCGTGTCTTTTTTCCCCCCCCTCCCCTCGGTGGGGCGTGTCTTGATTTTTTCCCTCGTTTTTTTTTCCCCACCCCTCGGGTCTTTTTTTGTTGTTTGTTCTTTATGTTTTCTTCCCCCTTGGTTTTTTTGTTGGTTCCCTCCGGGGTTGGGGGGGCAGGGGGGCCGGGGGGGGACATGGGCCTCGATGCTTTTTTCCCTCTCCGGGGGGGGGGGGGGGCGGGAAGGGCGAGCCGGGGAGGCCTGGCAGGCGCTCCAACTCGGTCCGGGCCCACTGGGGCTCCACTTTGCCAGACCAGCGGACGGACAAGAGACGTGCGAAGATGATCTCTGATAATAGGTTTTGAATATTTCTAATTCGCGCGCGCGCGCGTGGCGGCCCCTGGGTAAAGCCTCAAATGCGTAAAACACAATGTATTCGCTTCTGGCGCACTTCGTGCCGCCAGCGTTATTACAAGGAAGCCCTTTCCGAGCAAGCCAGCTCGCGACAAATTGACGACCATCGCAGATGCAGACGAACATCACCGAAAAAGTGCACGAACATCGCATGTCAACGAGAATCGGACGTGGAGGACAATCGATTAAACAACTTATTCCAGTGCGACCCTACCTAGGAGTTGGAGAATTTAGTAAAGCAACATCTACATCTACACCGACAGCTACACTTACATCTACACCTGCATCTACATCTACATCAACATCAACAGCGATACACACATCTACTTACATCTACACCTACATCTACACCTACACATACATCAACATCTACATCTACACCTACAACCACATCTACACCTACACCTACACCTACATCTACATCTACACATTCGCATTGGTTTTGCTTTTGCTTTGCATTGCCTTTGCTTTTGCTCTTGCCTTTGCTTTTGCCTTTGCCTTTGCCTTTGCCTTTGCTATGTTATGATATGTTATGCTGCGCTATGTTATGATATGCTATGCTATGCTATGCTGCGCTATGCTATGCTATGCTATGCTATGCCATGCTGTACCACGCTATGCTATGCCGCGCTGTGCTATGCTATGTAATGCTATGCCATGCTGCGCTATGCTATGGCATGCTATGCTATGCTGAACTATGCTATGCTATGTTATGCTATGCTATGCTATGCTTGGCTATGCTATGCTATGCTATGCTGTGCTAATGCTGCGCTGCGCTAAACTGCGCTGCGATAAGCTAAGCTAAGCTATGCTAAGCGAACCTAAGCTAAACAAGACTAGGCCACGCTAGGCCAAGCTAAGATGAGCTAAGCTAAGCTAAGCAAAGCTAAGCTAGGCTAGGCAAGGCTAAGCAACGCTATGATGATATAAGCTAAGCTAAGCTAAACTAAAGTAAGCTAAACTTAGCTAAGCTAAGCTAGGGGAGCCCAGGGGGCGCAACACTTCTACGTGCGAAGAACCCGACGACCTCATTTAAGAGATCCTCCTGAGCCACCAGGACACGTGAAACCAAGCACTTCGCTGGAAACATTCTCATCAAATCCTCATGTTAGAGAGACCCCGTCCTGGGCGCATGAATCCTGACCGAATTGATCTGGATCTTAAGCTCGAGCTGCCTGAGTACATAGCTCGGGCTAGCTGCAATCGAAACGCGCGGGGCGCTCGATCAGCTCGAGCCCCAAACCCGATTCAGTTCCGAAGCCCTCGCTCGAGACATCCTCACCGCTTTTTGGATATCCCCCGGTGGCGTGGACGCGTTAACACGTGCCGGATGCAAAGCGCAAGAAGCAGGTTATATACCTCTCCGCGCAAATGAAAACAAGCGTTTGGCTAGGGACACCCTAACCAGATCCTGCTGACAGAATGTTTCGCTCGGGACACGTGAAAGTTTGAAGGGGGTTGGGGGGCCCAATCAGAAGCTTCGCCTAGGCGAAGGCCATATCCAACTCTGTTGTACCGTAGTAACGATAGTCCCCGAAGTAGGAGATCGTCGCGGGAGCGACGGGCCATGTCAAGCGGATATGTGTTCGATCTCAGTGGGAAGTGTGCCTCGCGACGTGGCGCAATTATATGTTGGCGGCCGGCCGCTTGGGAACAAACGGCCGCGGACAAACGCTCGCCATCTCTCGCCTTTGCCCCGGCCTCCTATAGTGTCGGAGGGGGGGGGGTGCGAAGCGCGAGTCCGCCGCCCGCTATGCAGTAAACGCTATATACACAAGATTGGCAGCAGCAGGCGGGCTCAACAAGGAAGGTTGGCCCGCGCGCAGGTGCCCTTGCAAGCAAGTGGCCTCGCAGGCAAATCACCTTGCAGGCGGTTGCTCCTCGGGTGGCTCAGACGAAGTTGTCTGGCCAGCCCATCACGGAGTATGTCGTTGTAAGTCGTGCTTGAAGGATTGCGTTTCTCCCGTGACCTGCAAGAGCATATCTCAGTCGATGCTCACTTTGGTTTGGCCGTCCGCAGTCAGGTCGCGAGCGTCGCGCCACTGCGCGCTATGCGCGACACCTCGCTCCACCACCTGTCGTATCCAACTAATGTGTCCCAACAGGGTGCGCTCGGTCGGTTTCTTCGGGACTTTGCTTGACAAGGGCTTGAAGACATATTCCGCATCGATGATCCAAGTGGCCTTAATGCTCAGGCCACCCATCTCAAGTTTATCTTTCAACTGAGCGGGTGTCAGCGGCCTTGCGTGAAATTCGTGCAGAGCGACGATCGTGGGATAGCAGCCCTCCAAGTTATGGGCTGCTGCTAGTGCTTTCGCTGGATAGCTCGAGCGGACCAGCAAGCGGTGAGACTTGCAGTGCGCGTCGATAAGATGGGCGACAAGCTTGTCAACAGGCGTGTTTCCACGCCGTAGCAAGTCTGCCCCGCGAATGCCATAGCCTTTGACCTCGCCCTCGACATCCCCACTAAAACGCCGGTAGCCGGAGTCGCTGTGCAGGTCGACCTCGCCCGCTGGAGTCATCGGTCGGTAGACGATCTTGTTAGGGCAAGCCTGCAACTGTCTGGTAATCGCGTTCAGTCGTCGCACTTGCATGTTGGTCGGTTCTTGGGCACGTTGCAGGGATGCAACATATATCATCAACCACGCCTGTGTGATTAAGGCACAATCCAAAGCGCCTCTGGGGCTGGCAGACATGTCTGTGACCATCTTTGATGCCTTGGCGTCAGCGTCTGCGCCGGTGAGTTCAGGATGTCGTATAGGACGGAGCTGTTTTATGCATTCGTCTTGATCGAATGTAACGTTACCGTTCCCATCCCTTGTGTACCTCGCAGCGCAATTCGCATTTGTGTTTGTTGAGTTTACATTTGCCAAAAGAGGAGGAGGCTGTTAACAAAGTTGCCTCCCACCTGGCTCCAGATGATACTTCGACCGCTCTCCCCTCCACTATCTGGCTAGCGCGAGACGAGGGCGCGGGCAGCGGCGCACTCGGCGAGCTAGACGGGGCCGTCCTGGATTTGTTATACATAGGAAGGCCAGTGCTATGCTGCGAATCGTGGCATGGAGTGACAACTCGCTGGGCGCGGGCGGGTGGGCCGCTGAGGGCCCCAGACCCCGGCGCGTTAATGCGTCGAGGATGAGTGGGGGGTCAGGGGGCCAGAGGAGGCTCAAGAGGCGAGGGCGGTAAAGGTAGTGGGGGGATGAATCTGGCTGGTCATGGCAGCCAAACACACAGCTGGGGGGCTCAAGCACGCGCGCGCGGGCGGTGGTCGTCGACCAGCCAGCGAGCGTCTTGAAGGTCGCCCAGCGCCAGCTCGGTCGGGCGCTGTTCAATGCACGGGTGAGCGCCTCCCAGCGCTCGGCCAAGAGGGCAGGGTCGATGCGAAGGCCCCGCGCGGCCACCCTCTCTGCGAGGGTGACGATGAACGGCGATGCAAACGCGGCCTTGCGCAGAGAGGCCGCGAAAGTACGTTGGAAGTGGTGGCGGCGCGGCGGAGTGGCTTAGTGGTCATCTCCATGTCGGCCAGTGCTGTAGCATGGGCTTCTTGCGTCATTGCGGGCGTGAGCGGTGCCGTGCGCTGCGCATCTCGTAGCTGGGCATTGCATTTCACGTTCGCGCGCGGCTGCGCCCAGAAGCTGTGGGGCCGCAAGCCATCCAACCAGCGGTGTAAGGAATGAGCTGTGCTCTCCATGCTGTGTCACGGAGGCGAACGTAGCGTGGTTCCCACAGATCTGCCAAGGTGTGAAATGCTGAGCGGGCGGCGGCTGCGACAGACATGACCCGCGGAGAGGGGGGGCGCGCTTCTGGGAGACCCGCAGAACCTTCTGGAGTTTCTCTGTGGGCAAG